TCATCTCTAGTGGTCGAGTTTCTGTTCTCCGTGTGCTCTAGGAATCAGGTCCTCATTAAAGAAAATGAAAGGCAAGCTCCACTTTAGAACCCAGTGCCTCCGGCCCCCTAGCTGTGCCCTGTAGTGGAAGAGGGCAGGGAAGGGGCGGAGAGAAACTGGACAGAATCTGAGGCTGGTGTTTGGAACCCATCCCCACTCCTCACACAGCTTCCTCCATCAGCCAGCAAAGAGGCCCGGGACCCACGTAGAGGCAACCCAGAGAGCGATGCAGGTGCCCCGAAAGGACCGTCTCAGGTCCTTGGCTCCCAAAATGATGGTGCATGACAGGACACAGTGAGGGGGAGATTGGGCCCTGGACACCCAGCAGCTGAGGCAGGGCTCTAATGTCCGGTCCCAAGCACAAAGCCCAGGCGAGTGCAGGGACCCGGAGTCTCGTCATCCTCCAGAAGCACCCTACCTTGTCTAAGATCTTCCCTCACCTGTCACCTGCCTTGGGGCGGAGACCTAACCTTGCTCAGTGGGAACTTCTATCCCGGACCAGCATCCACACGGTCCCCGGACCAGCATCCACACGGTCCCCAGACCAGCATCCACATGGTCCCCGGACCAGCATCCACATGGTCCCTGGACCAGCATCCACATGGTCCGGGGTGCCCTCTCCACACCTGCTCACAAAGTCTCGGGACTGTGCCTGATGCCTACCTTCCAGTCCCTTCTGCCCACCGTTCATGCCAATGAAGTGGGCACCCTGCCCCCGCCACTCCACGCCTCTCCCACGAGCCACCAGAAACAAGGCACCCAACAAAATCCCTTTCCAAGCAAGGTCAACCCTGCCAAACACGTCTTTCTACTCAGTATCATTTGGAGGTGAAGCAGTATCACCTCCTGCCCCCCTAAACGCTTCCTCAATTTGCTTTTCCTCTAAAACCAAAGTCCCCAGGAAAGTCACGCCTGTGTTTCCCTGCACCCCGAGGTGTAAATGTCCTTCCTGGGGGTGGGTTTGGATAAGGGCTGGAGGAGACATCCTGAAACTGTGAAGCTGCTCCAGGAATGCCAAAGTCAAATTGCAGGGGGTGAACCTGAACCTCTCTCCTCAGCAGATTGTTTCTGACTTACACTCTGGGTGTTTGCTTACCATTGAGATGCACTGAACTGAACACCCCCCGACTTAACAGGAAGATACAGAGATAGGAATTGGTCATTCATCACCAAAGAGCCACTGCACCAATCTTCTACCTCTTGTCCTACCTCTTCCCTCCTTGATTGGAAATGAGTGTCCAGGAAAGTGCTCAGGCACCCCTCGCCTTCCCCGTCCCGGGAGAAAAGGATCAGCTCTGGAACCACCATTCCAGGTTCACTTGGGGTCACGAATCCCAAGGGGTAAGAAGCCATGTCCTTCACTCCCAGCCCCTCTGCCTTCTACAACTTGTCAGGACCAGGGTCCCCGGCAGGGGAGACTCACCGCTCAGCCCGGGGGTGGCCATGGTGCGGGCGCGCAGGGCAGGAAACCGGGACTGCCCCTCTGCTGGGGCTGCTCTGGCGTCTGCACTGGCTTATTCAGTCGCGGGACTAATTCCATCGCAGCTCAGCTCCGTCTGGACGTGCCCGCCCCAGCCTGCTGCCGCTGCCTCCTCCCCCATCCCTCGCCAGCGGCTACCAGGCCTCCCCGGAGCTGCACCCTAGGCGCACCGGCGCTGGTCGCGCCACGTGGAGAAAGGAGCGCGTTCCCGTGGGCCGGCTGAGTCCGGGACACGCTCCGGTTAATGAAGCTGAGGTGCGAGACAGTAAGACCGCTGCTCTCCCCACCCGGGGAGCTGCCTGCTAACCTGGTTCGGGTGTGAGCATTCAGCCGGATTATCTCGTCAACAGCCTGGCTGATTAGCTTCCAATTCCATCCGGGAAGCCTGCTTCCCGCCGCCCTGGCCCTGATCGCCTGGGTAGGTAGGGGTGGGAGGCTCCCCCGCACGCCTGCCTGCACTCTACCCTCCACCAGATGTCCCCAACTTTCTCTAGATTAAAAGGCGCAGGAGTGGAGGAATCGTGCCCCAGGGACAGGAAGAGGGGCTGCAAGAGGCAAGGGGAGGGGCTTGGGGAGGCAAGGGGTTTTAGCAAAGCTTCCCAGGGAGACGCTGGGACCAGATGAGGAGGTAGATGGTGGAAGCTCCATTCCAGGAAAAAGAGGAGTTCCATCTCTCCGGAATGGCTTTGATATCTAGCCATGGGCAGGGGGATGGAAGAGAAGACCTCCAAAGGGCCATTCTGGATGATGGAATCTACAATTCCAAGACGCCCCCAAGTGAAACAAGTGCATTAATACCAGAGACCCTGAAAATGAAAAGGTATTATGTTAACATTATATGTCAAGTAGGCTCTGAATGACCACGGACTTTCCTATCTCCTATGCTGATAAGGTGGGCTGGTGGGGACTGCTCCCCACTTTATAGATGAGGAAACTGAGGCAGTAAAGGGGAGTCAGGGGCTGAGCAGAAGGAAAACCAAAAGCAGTGTGTGCCAACCTGGGCTGTATCCTGGGCACCAGGAGTAACCATGGCTGACGTGGATGTGGACTTCCTCGCCCTCAGCATCCTTCTCAGAGCCTTCCCCAGAGGAATTATCTAATTCTAGTAACAAATCTATGAGGGAATTACTGCCTGTGTGCCCATTTCACAGATTAGGAGACTGCAGTGTAAACGGTCAGGCACCGTGCCTCTGAGGACTGTGCCTGCTCCAGAGCCTGTGCTCTAACACTTGGTTCCTGGCTGCTTGAGACAACACCCTTCTCCATTCACTTCTGGGAACCCTTCTCTACGTGTTTTCAATGCCAAGAGGATTGGAAACCTTTCCACCATGGTGGTTCCTTATCCATTCCCTCTCTTCTCTCCCTCCAGCACTTTTTTAGTCCCTTGGTCCCTGCATACTCCTCCCTTGAGACTCCCCCTAAGACTCTCACTTTGGGGACTGTCCCATCTGGTCTAAGGGTGACAAAAAAGAGAGTGCCTGAGACCAGAGGCAGACCCGCCCTGGAACACATGCAGAATGGGGACAGCTCCTGACTCATACCCCCACTACCAGTTTCTCCTTTTTACCCTACTTCCTGCATTTTTTTTAAAATCAAAATATGCAATTTTTCTGACTCAGCTTTTTTCTTGGCAGTGAACTGTACTATCAGTAAATATGAGGAGAACTCAGGCTATGGAGGCAGTTGGAAAACTGACACCTTCTGCTGGAGAGGCAGACTCCCCGCTGAGTTTCTCTGTGGCGATGCCTCCAATGGCACCTCGTCCCCAGGTGGAGCATTAGGCCATCAGTCAGAAGGGAGACAGGTAATTCCCTGGCCCTGGATCTGGTTTCCTACAGAGACCATAGAGGCACTCAAAGTTGGAGGCGGGGTGATGGATGGAGGATGACAGCCTTTGAATTATTGAGCAGTTACATAAAACTTCTATCCATTCTTCCTTCCCTCTACCCGGCTAAACTCCCCACCGAAACGACTCAACACAACCCATGCCATTTGCCTTCAATGTATCTTCCCTGGAGGTTCTTCCCCAGCAGTGACAGAAGCAGAAAGACCTAGAAATGCAGCTGTCACTGGTTCCTGTGAGAACAGGGCCGAATCTGTCAGCACCAGGGACGTGCGGCTCTGATGCACCGGCTCCGGAGTTCTTGCCCAGGTGTCCAGGTGCTTGGGTTCTGAACCTGACCCTGCCACCCAGCAGCTGTGTGACCTTTGGCAAGTTACTCAAGTTCTCTGAGCCTCTTTCATCCTCTGCAAAGGGGCAGGAGAGGGCAGTGGATGAGATGTCTAAATCCTTTCCAGCTCCATGGTCCAATCCGTTCAATGAGTTGAGTCTCTCCTGGGCTAGAAGGATCTGGCATGAAAGTCAAGCCTCCATCAAATTCCTGTCTCATAGCCAGGACAGTTGCTTTATTCTCATGGGTGTGCTCTCCCCACCTAGAGTCTCTGCCATCTTGCCAGCATATACATGTAAGCTTTTTCATATAAGTCTAAGAAAGGATGATCTCTCCTTGAGAGTGACAGCAGTGGTTAGTGATTTGGGGACCCGGTGAGGTCTGGAGTTACCTACACCTCTTCTGTCCACCAAATGATCCTGGAGTGGGCAAGGCCTTGGCCTCCAGCATCCAGCCCAAAAGGAACTCAGCTCCCTCACCCCTCAGAACAAAGGAAATCCTCAATGCTCTGCCACTGACGGTAGGGACACTTAGGGTTCCCCTTTGAAGCTTGATTTCCCCATTTTTCTTCTGGTCACTTTTTCCGTTATTAGAGAGCAATTCACAGTTACTCCCGGACCTTCTGGCTTATTTGACCCTCCCAACCGAGTGAGTGAGACTGACGTTCCTGGTTCCAGTTGAGGAAACGAAGTCTGAAAACCGCTAAGGGGCTTGCTGAGGCCACACAGTCCAGCGAAGGCCATGGGTGGAACCTGGGCCGCCCCCGAGTCTGGGGGTCTCCGGCCACGGCCACGCCTGTGCCGCGAGGGACCACGTTCCCGCACACGCCCAGCACCGCGTTTCCAGCCCCCCAGCCCCCAGCCTCTCACCCTCCCACGGGGGCGACTGAGGAACACAGGCACTGGCTCAGCCGAGGGCTCAGAGAACCCCTTGCACACCCACTGGGGCTCCTTCCCCATCAAGTCAGCCACACTGGCCAGAGCCTGGCAGGAGCCTGGCTCTAGGGACTCCTCTGCTCTGCCCAGAAGCCCCTGGATTCAGAGACTGGAGACCCCAGTGTCCCAGAGCAAATCCCTTCTTCAGCCACTGGGCTGTTTCCAAGGAGGCCTGGTGCTCACTTTCCCCTTCCCTCCCCGTGGAGGCTGAGATGCCACTTTCTCCCCGATGTGGGCAGTGCCTCCCGCAGACCCCAGGGCTCAAGTGTTTCCAGATGGAGCCTGTGCTCCCCTACCCCCCACCCCCTTCAGCACCAGCCTCAGAGCTCCAGCCCAGCCTACAATAGCCATCTCAGCCTAGATGAACCATGAGCCTTTGGCAAGATGACAGATTGACCTTTATTGTGGGCCCGGGGAAGCCCGGGAGCGGAGCACGCATGCGCCAAGTAGGGGTTGCCAAGCGGGTGGTGACGGGTGTCCGCGGCAGGACCGCGCCTCACTGGCGGCATTTCCTGGGGGAGCACTTGCACTGCATGGCGTTGAGGACCACGTGGTGGATGACGGAGCCGTTGGCGCAGCGCAGGGGCACCTGCATGGGCTCTGTGCGTGTGGGCGTGCAGCAGGCGCACTGGTCCTGCACGTCCTCTGTGTCGATGGAGTACAGGGCTTTGCTGGTGCATCTTCCCTATGGCGGGGCAGAGAGAGGCGGCCGTTGTGGGCGGTGGAGAGTCCCAGGGTGGGGAGGGCTCTGGGGCAGCCCGCTTCCTCCACCTGCCCTCCTCCAATCAAGAAGGTCTGGCCTTGCCCGGAGAAACACAGGACAGCCAAACAATGTGTAAAAGTAGCTCTTGGGAGGTCTGAAAGGCCTGTCCTAATGGAACTGTCACACCCAAGCCCTCTAGCTGCAATTTCTATGCCTGTGTGATTGATCTTCAGGAAACATAGCTCCCATCTTCCATTAAGTAATTCTCCATTCTCTTCAGAGGACGTGTTGAATCATTGCTCAGTTTTTTTCTTCTAGGGTCAAAAGTTCCCATTTACTTCAATAAAACATTGGCTTTTTAAAAAAATTTTAAAAGCTCCCAGTCACTTTCACTTCTCCCCGCTGTGAATTTCCCAGATCCTTCGACTCTGTAACTAAAGAGACGTGACCAAACAAAGAACTTGCCCCTCCCAACCGAGGGCCCCTTACCTGGCAGTAGTGAATGTCCACTTGCTCTTCAGACAGACAGTCTCCCACTTTGACATACTGCAGCTTGGCAGTGATGTCCTTGCACTCGGGCTCCTCACCTACAGGACAGGTGAGAGATGGGACCTGTTCTTCCACAAAACACTCTCCAGCCGAGTTCCCTCATTTACTGGAAATAGGTCAATTTCACAGTAACCGGATCACCAAAGCCAGCCATGGGGAAGGCAAGTCAGTGGTCCTGGTTCCCCTCAGCTTCTCCTGGCCCTTCATATTCAGAGATATAGTTATCGCTGGGTTTAACTCACTTAATGGCACAATTTTAATTGCAGGAGGAGCGTAGATTCACTGTGCTTTGGTGATGTCAATGGATAGGACTTACTTTTATGTAATTGTAGACTCTAAAAACCATGATGAATAAATAAGGAAACACAAGCTTTAAATGACACATTAAACAAGATGGACTTAATTGATATTTATAGGACATTCCATCCAAAAACAACAGAATACACTTTCTTCTCAAGTGCTCATGGAACATTCTCCAGGATAGATCATATCTTGAGTCACAAATCAAGCCTTGGTAAATTTAAGAAAATTGAAATCGGATCAAGTATCTTTTCCAACCACAACACTATGAGACTAGATACCAATTACAGGAAAAAAAACTGTAAAAAATACAAACACATGGAGGCTAAATAATACGTTACTAAATAACCAAGAGCTCACTGAAGAAACCAAAGAGGAAATCAAAAGCTACCTAGAAACAAATGACGATGAAAACACGATGAACCAAAACCTATGGGATGCAGCAAAAGCAGTTCTAAGAGGGAAGTTTATAGCAATACAATCCTACCTCAAGAAACAAGAAACATCTCAAATAAACAACCTAACCTTACACCTAAAGCAATTAGAGAAAGAGGAACAAAACCACCCCCCGCAAAGTTAGCTGAAGGAAAGATCACAAAAATCTGATCAGAGGGCTTCTCTGGTGGCACAGTGGTTAAGAATCCGCCTGCCAATGCAGGGGACATGGGTTCAAGCCCTGGTCTGGGAAGATCCCACATGCCATGGAGCAACTAAACCCATGCCACAACTACTGAAGCCCGTGCACCTAGAGCCTGTGCTCCATAAAAAGAGAAGCCACTGCAATGAGAAGCCTGCGCACCGCAATGAAGAGTAGCCCCCGCTCGCCACAACTAGAGAAAGCCCGTGTGCAGCAACAAAGACCGCACGCAGCCAAAAATTTAAAAAAAAAAAAAATCAGATCAGAAATAAATGAAAAAGAAATGAAGGAAACTTTAGCAAAGATCAATAAAACTAAAAGCAGGTTCTTTGAGAAGATAAACAAAATTGATAAATTATTAGCCAGACTCATCAAGAAAAAAAGGGAGAAGATTCAAATCAACAGAATTAGAAATGAAAAAGGAGAAGTAACAACTGACAGTGCAGAAATACAAAGGATCATAAGAGATTACTGCAAGCAACTATACGCCAATAAAATGGACAACCTGGAAGAAATGGACAAATTCTTAGAAAAGCACAACCTTCCAAGACTGAACCAGGAAGAAACAGAAAATATGAACAGCCCAGTCACAAGCACTAAAATTGAAACTGTGATTAAAAATCTTCCAACAAACAAAAGCCCAGGACCAGATGGCTTCACAGGCGAATACTATCAAACATTTAGAGAAGAGCTAACACCTGTCCTTCTTAAACTCTTCTGAAATATAGCAGAGGGAGGAACACTCCCAAACTCATTCTACAAGGCCACCATCACCCTGATACCAAAACCAGACAAAGATATCACAAAAAAAGGAAACTACAGGCCAATATCACTGATGAACATAGATGCAAAAATCCTCAACAAAATACTAGCAAACAGAATCCAACAGCATATTAAAAGGATCATACACCATGACCAAGTGGGGTTTATCCCAGGAATGCAAGGATTCTTCAATATACTCAAATCAATCAATGTGATGCACCATATTAACAAATCAAAGGATAAAAACCATATGATCATCTCAATAGATGCAGAAAAAGCTTTCGACAAAATTCAGCACCCAATTATGATAAAAACTCTCCAGAAAGTAGGCATAGAGGGAACCTACCTCAACATAATAAAGGCCATGTATGACAAACCCTACACACTAGGGTTTGCATTCCTATACACTAACGATGAAAAATCTGAAACAGAAATTAAGGTAACACTCCCATTTACCATTGCAACAAAAAGAATAAAATACCTAGGAATAAACCTACCTAAGGAGACAAAAGACCTGTATGCAGAAATCTATAAGACACTGATGAAAGAAATTAAAGACAATACAAACAGATGGAGAGATATACCATGTTCTTCGATTGGAAGAATCAACATTGTGAAAATGACTATACTACCCAAAGCAATCTACAGATTCAATGCAATCCCTATCAAACTACCAATAGCATTTTTCACAGAACTAGAACAAAAAATTTCACAATTTGTATGGAAACACAAAAGACCCCGAGTAGCCAAAGCAATCTTGAGAACGAAAAATGGAGCTGGAGGAATCAGACTCCCGGACTTCAGACTATACTACAAAGCTACAGTAATCAGGACAGTATGGTACTGGCACAAAAGCAGAAATACAGATCGATGGAACAAAATGGAAATCCCAGAGATAAACCCATACACACATGGTCACCTTATCTTTGATAAAGGAGGAAAGAATATGCAATGGAGAAAAGACAGCCTCTCTTCAATAAGTGGTGCTGGGAAAACTGGACAGCTACATGTAAAAGAATGAAATTAGAACACTTCCTAACACCATACACAAAAATAAACTCAAAATGGATTAAACACCTAAATGTAAGGCCAGACACTATAAAACTCTTAGAGGAAAGCATAGGCAGAACACTCTATGACATAAATCACAGCAAGATCCTTTTTGACCCACCTCCTAGAGAAATGGAAATAAAAGCAAAAATAAACAACTGGGACCTAATGAAACGTAAAAGCTTTTGCACAACAAAGGAAACCATAAACAAGACAAAAAGACAACTCTCAGAATGGGAGAAAATATTTGCAAAGGAAGCTACTGACAAAGGATTAATCTCCAAAATATACAAACAACTCATGGAGCTCAATATCAAAAAAACAAACAACCCAATCCAAAAATGGGCAGAAGACCTAAATAGACATTTCACCAAAGAAGATATACAGATGGCCAAGAAGCACATGAAAAGCTGCTCAACATCACTAATTATTAGAGAAATGCAAATCAAAACTACAATGAGGTATCACCTCACACCAGTTAGAATGGGCATCATCAGAAAATCTACAACAACAAATGCTGGAGAGGGTGTGGAGAAAAGGGAACCCTCCTGCATTGTTGGTGGGAATGTAAATTGATACAGCCGCTATGGAGAACAGTATGGAGGTTCCTTAAAAAAGTAAAAATAGAACTACCATATGACCCAGCAATCCCACTACTGGGCATATACCCTGAGAAAACCATAATTCAAAAAGAGTCATGTACCACAATGCTCATTGCAGCTCTATTTACAATAGCCAGGACATGGAAGCAACCTAAGCGTCCATCAACAGATGAACAGATAGAGAAGATGTGGCACATATATATACAATGGAATATTACTCAGCCATAAAAAGAAACAAAATTGAGTTATTTGTAATGAGGTGGATGGACCTAGAGTCTGTCATACAGAGTGAAGTAAGTCAGAAAGAGAAAAAAAAATACTGTATGCTAACACATATAGAGAGAGAGAGAATCTAAAAAAAAGAAAAAAGGTTCTGATGAACATAGGGGCAGGACAGGAATAAAGATGCAGACGTAGAGAATGGACTTGAGGACACGAGGAGGGGGAAGGGTAAGCTGTGACAAAGTGAGAGAATGGCATGGACATATATACACTACCAAATGTAAAATAGATAGCTAGTGGGAAGCAGCCGCATAGCACAGGGAGATCAGCTCAGTGCTTTGTGACCACCTAGAGGGGTGGGAAAGGGAGGGTGGTAGGGAGACCCAAGAGGGAGGGGATATGGGGATATATGTATATATATATAGCTGATTCACTTTGTTATACGGCAGAAACTAACACAACATTGTAAAGCAACTGTATTCCAATAAAGATGTTAAAAATAATAAAATAAAAACCATAATGATGAGAGCAATCCACCTGCGCTTATAACAATATCCAGAAGCTGACGGGCAATGGGGCAGCTAAGAAATACAATGAATCTCTAACCATCCCTGCAAATGTCATTGTCTCTGTGGGAGCTGATCGTAGGAGCCCTTATGGAATCTTCCCTTTGGGTATAGCTACCTCTGGGTCGCTAGCATGGGTCTCCTTATGTACAGGGGTTAAAAGCATTCAGATCTGAACCTCTACTTGGCCCACTGATAATCTAAGATTTAATGCCAGCTCATTATTGCCCATCCAAACACTGGGAGTTTTCCATTCCTGGATGGCTCCAAATCTAAATCAACTTTAACTACCTAATAGTTGGGCTCCCAACTCCCAAATAATGTCATTTTAAAGTGAAAGCCTGCCAACCACATTAAGAGGGTGAATAAGGAAAACATATTGAGGCCAATACACTATATTGTTTTGCTGTAGATTTAAATCCCTGAGCCTGGCTTCTTTTCCTTATGGAAGGTCCCCACCTCTTGAAAGCACAGACCGACACAGGCCCCTTTTGGCCTCGCTGCTAGTTTTGAAGATAACAGCCTCGGCCCAATTCCATGTGCAGCACGCCTAGAGAGAATGCATCTCCTCTGATGGTTTCCTGACCACATTCTTCAATCATGCAAACAAGAACCATAGAAAAAGATGCTTTCAGAGTGTGTTTTCCACAACCTGCAACTTGGTTACAGCAACTACAGGGACTGTCAGAGTGAGCCATCAAGAAAAGAATGAATGACTGAACGCTGAAGATATTCGTGTTTTTACTTTTCCTTTCTCTACCCAAAAATAAACATGGGAACATGGGCCCGTGAACCCCAAAACCAACTAAACTAAAAGACAAAGAACATTAGTCCAGGCAAGTAATTCTACATTCAGAGAATACAGCACTAACACTGGGATTCTGAAAGGTACTTGTGCTCGTGGAAACAAGAACGCAAGAACATGTGGTGAGATGCTGTCTGGTGGGCAGGCTTGAGCTCCGTCTCCAAAGCTGCAGCCGTAACTATTGGGACCAACCAGTACAACACAACTGCAAGGTCAAGAGGAGCTGAGAGGGAAGCAGACGAGGTTAATAAAACTGAGACCAGCCTCATAAATCCTCGAGAAGGCTGTGTTCACTGCAGCCCCACAGCCAGCTGCTGGCTTCCCTTTCTCTCTGGGAGAGCTTGCACGACACCCAAAGGTTAGAGGCGTACTGAATGTCCGCTCTGTCGAGATCATGAATCAAGGTGCCTGTCTTCAGGAGTTCTGGTGGCAGAGGGAAGACATTCTCTCATGATAGGACTACTATGACCAACCCAAGGCTCTGCCAGGGGAAAGGCAGGTAAGAGGTTAGTGATTGCCAGGAGTTTGGAAGGAGGAGGAAGAGTGTGCCTCACGGGCATCTTGAAAGGGGGCTTGAGCAGGGCGCAGTCCAAGGACATGCAGGGTGGGGTGGAAGCTCCCTGAGGAATTGAACACAGTGACTGCAACATCTTTCTAGAAGAAAGGTCATTGCAAAGAACAGTCCCTGGACTTCGCCTGATGGATTTCAAGGGACAAGCTATTGGTAAGGTACTTACACGTGTCACAGCATGTGCCTGGAATTTTCATGATTTTCCCCTAAGAAAACAGCAAAGTCGCAGATTAGGCACAAATAGTACATAGTGGACACTGCCAGTCACCCCAGGCCATGTCCTGCCTCTGGACTCACAGTCCTGAGCTTAAGTCCCCAGATATGAATGGGTTTTCCCATCACAAATGTGAATAGACTGACCACCCCATCTGGCCAGGCCGAAATGATTCTGATTATTCTGAATTCCCTTCCAGTTGAGTCACCAGGATCATCATTCCCAGCGGAGGCTGGAAATCAGTTTGCTCTCTCACCATCCCATTCAAGGATCACAGATCCAGTCTCCCTTAAGGGAAGGTGTTTTCGTAAAGCATATGGTACAGTTGAGACAGTTTTGTCCCTGCATCAGGCTTTGATTTTGTAATTTCGTTGATTTTTAAACTAGGTCAGGTTCTCCTTGGACACTGGGAATCACGTGTCCAACAGCAGAGCTGGACCGCTGTTCAGAAGAACCCTCTTCTGAGAGTCGAAGATGGAGACAGTCAAGAGGAAAGCAGGGCCTGAGTCCCAGCTACTCACCCCCTCAGCCAGACACTTGTGTCCATCGAAGGGCGGGCAGCCCGTGACCCTCCTCTCCCAGATGAACTCGCCTCTCTTGTTGACCCTGCAGAAGTGACTGTCACAGCCATCCTGGAGAGTCTCGTCGCGCTGAAAGGAAAGAGGGGAGGTGGGCACAGCAAATCTGAAGACGGTGTTTGGGGTCCAAAGCCACTTCAAGCCATGACCTTGACTCCTTGGAGTTGTTGAGACAAGGTAGGGGACCTTAGAACAAGACCGAGGCAGTGTGTGCAAAGTCTCCACACCCAGAACCCAGAACGGAGGTGGAGTCCAGTTTTACGGCTTGTTAACTGGGAATGGGGCTGCATAAATGTAGGGCATCCCTAACTCTACTGACCACTTAACAGCTTAAAGAATTAAGACACAGCAAAGGGAAACTGGCCCATCAGTAGCTGAACTAAAGGTGAGCCAGGTGCCACCTGCCAGCCCCACCAGCCCACTCTGGCTTTCATAGAGCCCAGCCTGTGTCACCCTGATTGCCTGACCAGTCTCATGGACCATCAAGGCTGGAGAAAATCTTAAAGATCAACTCACTCCCAATCACGGGGCCCTACACCAACTTCTGTCACAGAGAGTGACAAATTAACCAAATCTAAGAGAGAATTCCGTACTTCCTAAAGGTTACCCATCTTTCCCTTATGAAATCAGAACTAGGTACAAAAGGAAGTCAATATTGACCCAAACTCAGTCCCTCTTCCTTGAAGAAAATATCCCCAAATAGGAAACCAGACGGTGGTCGTAGGGAGACCCCTGAGTTTAAGTTGCCCACACACACCTTTAGCATCATGATCTGTCCCCCTCGTAGCTGAATGGTGCAAGCCATAGGCAGGCATCTCCCGCAGCACTGGCCCTGCATCTTCTCTTCCTTGTAACCCTGTAACCAGGAGAAAAAGCAGCCTTAGTTTAAACCTCCCCCTAAGATCCCGATCGAAAGTAGGCCAAATGGTAAATGGTTTCATTAAGCAGCTGTTCAAACTAGAAATCTGGGGGTCATCCTTGTGTTCTCTCTTTTTCTTATCCCCCCCTGCTCCACTCATCACCAGATCTTGCCAAAAACGGCATCTTGAGCTCATCCACAGCTTGTCGTGCCAGGGTCCTCTGTCCTGGACTCTGTCACGGTAGTAACTGTCTTCCTACCTCTATTCCTGCCAATCCAGCAGCTTCCCGGAAGATGGATTTCACTGTTTCACAAAAACGCCCCCCCAATCTGGGAGACAACATAGGGTGACCAACTTTTTATTCTGCCAAGTATTTTAAACCATGTTAACAAGCCAAAAAGTGATCGTCAGCTGTCGCATCACTGCGTTAAAATTAAAGCTCTTTTAACTCTCCCCACCATGCCGGAAAAAAAAAAAAAAAAAAGAACTAAATCTAGTAAAGTTTTTTTTTTTGGTTTTGTTTGTCTGGTTGGCTGGCTTTTTCAGGCAAGGCTTTATTAGGGTCCCTGCCGCAGCAAGGGGCAGTGAGAACAAGTAACAGGTGCTCATGCTGGCTCGGTCCCAGAACACGGACAAGCTGGCTCCTCACATGGGGTGAAGGCAGGGGTGTTTAAAAGAATAAATTTAGTTATGTGAAGACCAGCTATGGTGTCATTCTTGTTTTCATTTTGCTACATTTAGTAATGACCACTTAGAGATTCATTCCTTGGGGTCCTGAGGTTTTTCTACTATGAATCTCTAGCAGGTCAGCGTGGAGCCCCGGACCTGAATTCCGGGGCTGGTCCTCTCACATTGCTCCCTTGCTCACTGCACTCCGACTGACAGCTCGTAACCAGCTGGGGAGGTTAGGAGTCTGTGAGCGTCCGCTGAACTCATCAGGGAAGCCGCGGAGAGAGCCCAGGCCACACACACGCACTCAGAAAGACGCTGCTGACATCTGAGGCCATCAGGTCATGTTTCACCGGTGAGCTTCAACTGTGTTTTCAAAAACGCACAATTCCTGGCAGGTGTGGACCGAGGTGGATGGGAGAGGAAGAAAGAGATGGGAAAAACAGCATGAATGTATGTGAGCGCTTCCAGTCAGAAAGAGGAAATAAAATGAGGCGTAAATCAGGCACGATTTCACGGGAGCGTGGATCGGGGCATTTTTTAGTGAGTGTTAGAAGAAGAGACTAGGAAATGCCCTCCACTCAGGCCCAAGCAGAAGAACGCGCCCAAAATCTTTACAGGAGAAGTGAGGGGTGGGGGACAGATGGAGGAGGCGTCTGCAAAGTGAAGGGATGGGGCGGTGGACGCACACTCCACACCCCAGAGAGGCAGAGGGCACGGTGAAGCCAAGAACAGGGAAAGGTGGTAGGCGCTGTGGGAGAAGAAGGGACAGGAGAAAGTGGAGGAGGCGGGAAGGTGAGAGGAGGGGCGATGATTTCAGAGGTGCTGTGGGACCGGGGGAAGAGGGACGGGAGGACAGGGAACACGGCAGAAACCACTGGAAGGACGCAACAGAGAGAACGGACCCCGCAAGGCAAGAACACAGCTGCACTGGTGACGGGCCTGTCTGAGCCCTGCTGGCGGGGTACGCACCGCACAGCTGCCAGACGGACACGGAGGGCAGTGCTGACCAGACTTTTGCCAGAGCATCCAATCAGGAGCCGCCAGGTGCCCAGCCAGCCACAGGCTCACTCACTCAGGTCTGAGCAGCCAACTAGCCCTGCTCCCCCTGTCCAGGGAGGCCCCCCAAACTCTCCTCACAGGTGTCTCCCGGCCCTTTTCATAAACTACATCGGCTGCTCAAGGACCCCAGGCTTATCTCCCCACTGCCCTTTTCTAACTCTTGCTTAAATGACAGTCTGTCCCTCTGCCCCCTCCTGGGGGGGGTCATTGCTCAAGGTCAGCCCATGGTCATGCTCCTCTGGGAGGCCTTCTCAAGGTTCCTGGTCAGTGTCACCTCTCTTCCTCAAGCCCTCCTTTGTCTCTACCACCCAGCAGCACAGACTGGCTTCTGGGCTCCTTTTAGGTATAAGCGTCGTCTCCCCTGAAGGAGACACAGGCCCCACGTCTCTGACGATGCTACGAGTTCCATCTGACATCGGCAGTTCAAACAGACACAGACCAGCCTACACTTGACCCACCAGAGCTCCCCACCTGCAGGAGGCCACACGGAGGCCCTTCATGGTAGAGGAACGTGACAAGACCAGGTAAGCTGAGCTAGAATGGGGGGCATGTGAGGCAGAGCTCAGCAGAGGCTGAGAGACACACAGCAGGGCTAAACTCGGGGATCTCAAGAGGGAGGAGATCCCTGGGGAGACAGCGGAATTTTGGAGGCGAGGAGGAGGAGAACACAGACGAAAAGGGGCCGTGAATTTAAAAATATTTAGAAACCTAAGTCTAGACTGGATTCTAAAGCTGGATTTCTATGGACGCAGAGGAAGTGGCCGTGCCACCCTCTGACCACTAGAGGGCGCAGGTAGAGAGTTAGTGGGCTCGTCCCCCCGCCCGCCTCCCCAGAACACTCTCCTTCAGGGCCGCTTAGCGTGGACCGCCTCCTGCATCCACTGTAGTTCCATGGACAACCAGTTAAAGGGATGCCAAAGACTCCAGACAGCATCATTCCATCCCATATTCAAGCCCAGATGTATGCAGGGGAGTTCTCTCTCTCTCTCTCACACACACACACACACACACACACACACACACACGCCTGCATCCAAAACCCTAAAACAACTGGGATTTTAAATTTAAAAAAAGCAAAAAGGCATACTTCACTGGCTTCTTTCTAATTGAGGCGGGAATGTTCTCCTTGAGCCATTCTATCAGAAGTAGCTGTGTCTCCTACGGACCCCTTCACTCCCCTTGAAAATGTGCTATTAAGCCCCTACTTGGAGCATCACACGGTGCCAAGTGCCATGAAGGGCACAGGTGCAGAACACTCCCCGACCTCAAGAGCGCTGACCGCACCAGCAGCTCGTCCTAACCTTGTCCCTAACCCACGCGTCGCCCCTCCCCTCTGGCCGCTGTGCTGTGCCGCTCCACTCCTCCCCGACCCCGCCCAGAACCCGCCCGCTGCCCCACCATCTGAAAGAGCAATGACTATACCCTGTGCATCTAGCTCACAAGAAACTCCTCTGACCAACCATATTTTCTAAGACAGCAGGAGCCCCAAATGCAGAAGGCAGTTTGCGGAGGAAACCAAGGCGTCCTCCTGAGCGTTGGGTCCAGCTCTGCGAGGTGGGGCTGAGAGTCACGATAAGAATAGTGAAGTGCATGCTTTCCTCTACCCAACTAGAAATGATGATTCCACTTCCCAGAACCCACCCTCAGAGGTGTTCTGAGCAAACACAGTCATCGTGACCTGGCAGGGTGAACTATTAAAACGCGATGTCCAATAACAAAAGTATATGTTGAGGCAGAGCCCCTTCAAAGAATGTTGCATAGAACCCTGCACATAGCAAGTGTCCACTGATAAATATTTGTTGACTAATTTTTAATGTTTTCAAAGAACAGTAGTATGTTGCTTAAAAAGAATACAGAACTGTAAATATGGTATCATAAGCCTTGCAAATACAGGAAGAAAATGTTTAAATTTCCAAAACTAAATTATAATTATATCTGAGAAATGCAATTTGGGTAGGTGACTTTTATTCTCTTCCTTACCGTTGTCAAATATGTCCATAATCAGAAAATCACGAAAGCTTTTATCTAACGAGCCCGGTGAGGTCCCATTGCTTGGGTCCCACAAGTACCCAGTCCACCCCCAGGCCCCCATGAGCCTCTCTCACCAGCGGGCAGTCCTCGCAGGTGGTCTGCCTGCACTCCAGCTTGAATCCGGAGATGACCCCCACCTGGACGGTGCAGAGGCAGGTGGTACACAGGTCAACCATCAGACTCCTCCCGGGCTGGAACCAAAAGGACCAGGGTCAGGCCTCCTGGCACCCAGAACCCCCGACCCTCCACTGCCCTCAGCCCCGTGAGCCGTCTGCCTTGGGCATGGGGGCCCGGCTGCCCAAAGCTGCCAGGATCCATCACCCTGATTCTCCTCCTGTCCCGAGAGGTCTGCTCCCTCCCTTCCCCACCCCACCTCAAGGATGGCACGGTAAGAGTGAGGGCTTTCCCAGCAGAGAGGGAGCTGGGGCAGAGGGAGAGGGGCAGATTGAAGCATGCACAGAAGAAATGCTCGAGTGCCTGGGGCCGGGATGTGAGCGCTAGAAGGTGGGGCCCGGGCCCCGGAGAGGTAAGGGTTCCACTCCAGGATGCCTGGGAAGCCCTGGAGGAAAGGGAAGTGTGGGTGGGGCAGGCCCCCCTGGCTCCTTTCACTTGCACTTTAGAATGACACCCTTCCCACAGCACCCCATCCCTGCCCCCCAGGCACCCTGGAGGAGAAGGCGGCAGCTCACCCCGATGATGGTGCCGTTGAGCACACAGGCCTGCAGGGGCTCTGGGGAGAGACAGGCACAGGGCATGAGTGTGCGGAACACAGCTGGTGAAGGCCCACGACCCAGCTGCTCCTCCCAGGCTGGGCCTCCCTGCTCCACCTGCCGGTCCTTCTCCCCACTCAGCACCAGGCGCTGTGGGTCCTCCTGCCGGAGCCCACGTGGCCACAGTGGCCCCAGGCCCGCTGAGGAAGGGCAGCTACCTGCTGCCCACCACCCAGCCCGCAGGGAGAAGGTCCCTGCAGTCCTCGAGGGGAGGGCACTTGTTTAAGTGATTCACACCCAAGGGGTGAGTGGGAGGATGTTTGGGCTTGTCAAAGAAAGACATTCTAGTCTGGAAACTTTAAGTCCCGAGATAAAATCACACACAGAGCTCAGGACGGGGTGGCGAGAGCTGTTTGCTGTTGCTGTTGGTTGTTTGGCTGGTTGGTTGGTTGGTGGGTGGGTGGGTTAGTTGGTTGCTTGGTTGGTTTGTTTATTTGGTTGGTTGGTTGGTTGATTGTGTGGTTTGTTGGTTAGTTGGTTGACTGGTTGGTTGGTTGATTGGTTTGTTTGTTGATGTGGTTGGTTGGTTGGTTGGTGGGGTTAGGGGATGGGCAGTTGGAATACCTTTTCCAGCCGAATGATTGAGAAGAAGTCTCTAGAATTAGAGAAGCCTGGGTCCAAGCCCAGTTCTACCACTCACTAACTCACAAGAGCAAAGGGAGGTATAATGGTACCCACCTCATGGGATTGTCATAAGGATGACATGAGACAAGGTACAAAACCAGCGCTGACACAGTGACGACCCTCAGGAAATTGTCCCATTTCCCTCATCTTATTTGCTTTCTCCCCAAAGTGTTAGCAACAGATGGAGAGATTTGATCCTCCCCATTTCCCTGAGCTGCTCAAAAGGCAAGGATTCGGGAGCCTTAGAGGAAAGAGAGGCTTGAAGGCGGGCTTGGTGGCACATCTTACCGCAGTGACAGGTGGGGCAACAGCCCGAGGTCTGACAGCTCAGCTGGAAGCCCGAGGGGCAGGTGGGGACGTCCAGTTGGGGGCAGGAGACATTCCTCTGTTGCACGAAGACCTCCTCCTTGACTCGGACACACTCGTAGATGAGGCAGGGGTCCTCGGGAGAGGCCCAGTGAGAGCCAACCTGTGGTCGGAGCACCCAAGTTGGTCAGGGGGCCAAGGTCCCGCTGGGAGTGGGCGGCCCCCTCAGGAGCTGGTGTGGGTCCTGGAGGTGAGCCCGGCTCAACGGCTAAGCCCTGCCCACAGGGTGAGGCGCATAGAGGGAGGGACAGCTCATCCAGGTCCTTCAGTGAGTCTGGGTCAGAGTCACCCTGACCAAGATCCTAGCTCAGAGCCCCATGTGCTCCCAAGACAGAGTCTTGAACCACTGGAGGAAGCACCTGGGGACACCTAAGGATGCTCCCTCCACCCTTGGCTCAGCTGGGAGCTGAGTGTCCAGGAACGGCTGCATGGGGAGACAGTGGAGGGGAGATGTGGAGGGAAACTCAGCCCAGCACCCAACCTCGTGCTGCTTCCCTCTGGTACAGGGAGCCGGTAAGAGCCGGGGATGCCGGTGTCTGACCCTCGGCCCTGTAATCTGCCCTGAGCTCCCAGGCTGCACACGGGTGGCCTGTCCCAGGTAAGAGCCGGGGATGCTGCTGTCTGACCCTCGGCTCTGAAATCTGTCCTGAGCTCCCAGGCTGCACACGGGTGGCCTGTCCCAGGTAAGAGCCGAGGATGCCGGTGTCTGACCCTCGGCTCAGAAATCTGTCTTGAGTTCCCAGGCTGCACACAGGCGGCCTGTCCCCAAGGGCACCACAGTCAAGGACCACTGAGTGTCCAGAACATGGTTCAGAAAGTCCCTGCGGAGGTTCTGCCCGGACAACACGTGACCGTGAGCACGGTCTGTGTGGTCCAGCTCCCCACGCAAGCGGGGGCACCTGGCCTGCCCACTCCAGGCCCAGCAACGTCTCTTGGCCCCTGTTGCCTTTCTTCTCTTTCCAGAAGAGAAGCAGAAAGTACCACACACTGCAGCCTCTCTCCTGACCCGCTTCTGACTCACCCTGACCAAAGCTTCCCGCTGCGGGCCACACCCCACTCGGATCATTTACCCGCCAAGCTTTGGGCGCATCAAGAGGACCTGTCTCTACCCACACCTGCTGGGGCCCCCAGAGCCACTGCCGACCCGCAAGTCTTGTAGGTAAGATGGAGACTTGAATTGGGAAGGGAAACTCTTTTGTGAACACTGATGCGGGTCAGGGCTGAGGGAGCCCTGGAGGCAGATGAGAGACCAGAGGCAGGAGGGTGGAGCGGTGAAGAGGATGCTGAGCCTCAAAGGGACCAGCTGGGCTTCCCTGGTGGCGCAGTGGTTGAGAGTCTGCCTGCCGATGCAGGGGACGCGGGTTCGTGCCCCGGTCCCGGAAGATCCCACATGCCGCGGAGCGGCTGGGCCCGTGAGCCATGGCCGCTGAGCCTGCGTGTCCGGAGCCTGTGCTCCACAACGGGAGAGGCCACAACAGTGAGAGGCCCGCGTACCGCAAAAAAAAAAAAGGGACCAGCTGTCAGCCCCAACCAGGATGGAGTAGCCTCTGGCCCTGGGGAGGAGGTGCAAAGCCAGCCTGATCCCAGGATGGGATGGGGAACAAAGAGGTTAAAAGCATGGAAAGGAGGGACACAGCAGGGAAATCCACAGGTAACCAGAATTAGAAGAGGGAGGTGGGAACCCTTGTGGGAAACGCAGTCTGTCACCACCAAGGAGGAGGAGACTGGTGGGCCGGGGTAGGAGGTGAGCAGGTGAGCACGTTCAGGGCAGGACAGGTAACCCTTTGCCCTCCTTCTAAACAGAGTGTGTTTCGGTCTCGCTGGAGGACTCAGAAGGGGAAGGTCCCTAGGACCCCCTCCCAGCATCCACGTCCTGAGGATTCCAGGGCTTAGCACCCTTCCACTTCATCCTTATCCAACAGACTTAAAGGACTGGTAGCATCCTAGCATGTGGGCTACGACTGACTCCCGGGGAGGGATCCTCTGTACTTCAGAAAACGGCTTTATGAGCCCAGAGTCAAAGTGAGAGCCTCTGGGCCACGAAGGAGAAGCGACCCTGCTCTGTGTCAGGGGAGGGGATCTGGGGGTGGGGGGCTGGGCAGGAGAAGACAAGGGTGGGGAGACGGGGGCTGCCAACACGCCCAGGGGCTACAGCCAGAGCTGCAGAAGGGGGCTCAGGGGCCCTGGGAACAGAAATGTAGTTTGCTTCTCTGGGTTACATATTTCTCCAACAGAAACCAGTGAAAAGGTCAGAGGACGCCGCCTGGGCCGGTGTGGCAGGGTGCCAGGCCCACGACACGGCCCTGCACCACCCATCGGGGGAAGCAGGTCCTCAGCTTCACAGGTTAAACAGGAGAACACGACCCCCACCCTCAGGCGTTCACAGAACTCAGAGGGAGGGAACTGGGCTTCTCCCCAAATCCACACAATGGGAAGACTGGGGCAACTTTAACTAGTTCCCCGGGAGCAAGGTGATCCCAGCTGACATCTGGATAAACCAACAGCCGCATTAAACTCTCTGTGGGGAAAGCAAAAGGCAGGGAATGAGCTTCTACTTTACGGACGGAACCAAGGGCAGCACCGGACCCCAGATGGACGACCAGGCTGGTGAGGCCCCTGCCCTCCTTCCTACCCGCCCTGGCCCAGACCTACACTCTTCCAGTAGGACTGGGAGTCTCCCCGAGGGGAGCCGGTCACCACCTCGCAGGCAGATGGCAGGCACGTTCCACAGCACTCGCCTTCGTGGAGGACGTAAGTGAAGCCCTGAAAGCACACAAGGGGTGGACGTCAGGACAGACAGGTGTTCTGGTCCACTCGGCAGGTGTACGGAGCCCTGGGGCTTGCAGAGGGACAGCTGGACCGGATGTTTTCATCTCTGCCCTCCACCAGCCCCTCGATCATGCTAAGTGGTCAGGAAGCATCACCCACTGAGTCACTAGGGGTCTTACACCAGCCGAAGAGACACAACCCTGCCCTCTGCAAACTTCCACTTAAGAAGAGCCAGTCCATGGGAGTATTAAAGATGCTCAGAGGGGCTTCCCTGGTGGCGCAGTGGTTGCGAGCCCGCCCGCCGATGCCGGGGACACGGGTTCGTGCCCCGGTCTGGGAAGATCCCACATGCCGTGGAGCAGCTGGGCCCATGAGCCATGGCCGCTGAGCCTGCGCGTCCAGAGCCTGTGCTCCGCGACGGGAAAGGCCACAACAGTGAGAGGCCTGCGTACCGCCAAAAAAAAAAAGATGCTCAGAGTTCACTCAGAAGCAGCCGGCTGCCCTGATGTTCATCACAGCCCAAATCTAGGGTCCCTCACTGACTGGGGGAGAACATTCCAGAAGCCTGGATTCCCGGCTCTGCCCTAACAGGGCTAATTACCTATACAACATGAGTGCCTTGACCCCAGGACCTCTCAGCGATGTGCAGAGCTGGGCTTCCCCAGGTCGTCACTTGACATTTACCTAGTAGTTTATGGGGCACAGTGAGACGAGACCCACTTTCCCCAGAAAGCCTGCCAGGGAGGCCAGCATCCTGCAAGTCTGAAGTCTGCCAGCCTATCCCCCCTCTTGGAGGTCCTCCAATCTGGCCAAAGCATCGGGAACTTGGATTGAAACCCTCCAATGAAAACTCTGAAGCGACGTACAAAGAACAGACAAAACGATGACACGTGAGGCTGTCCCAGGGGCCGAGGGACAAGAACCCGGGCCTGCAGCATCTCGGAGAGAAGGGTGAACTGCAGCCGCAGCCGTTCGGGATGGGGGTAGGTACCACACCCGCTCTGCTCCCCAAGAGCGCTCACAAGCAGGGCCCAGCCAGAGGATGCACTCAACACTCGGTATCATCCCAGGTGGTGCCTCTCCCGGGGGAACACGAGGACCCCAGAGACCTGGCTCAACTTTGTAGCATCTCCATGGGACCTACTTACACCCCGACCTGCGTCACAGCGGTGCCCGATGAACTGCCCTCAGTCCTTGATCAGCGGAGAGCTAGTTAGTTATCGTGCACCTATGATGTAGTAAGTGCTTTGGAGGCGCCAACAAATTAGGATGATACACTCGACACGCCCTCCGCTACAAGGCAGGATACACAAAATGGCACAAAAGAAACAGACACGAGGGAGCCTAGAACAGAGACATCGATGCCTTAGGGATCTAGAGTCACTCTTGGGCACCCCCCTCGGGGTGCTGAGTGGTCTGGATTTGTGCATACTCTATGTTTTCTGCTGCCTCCACCACGGGCAAATACACTGCGGGTTATGGGTGACCCAGGCTGGATGCCTGGTTCCCACAGCCCTACCTGCTTCTTGTGCTCAGGTGCTCCCAGCCACGCCCCCAGGTTCTGGGGCTGCCGACTTTGCAAGATTCCCCTCCACAGTTTCCTCCTGCACAACCAGGGCTCATCCTGTATTTTCATCTCTGTTTCTTTTCCCGTACTCCTCCAAACCCTCTAGCTTATATCTGTCCAAAAGAGACATCTCAGACCCTTTCTCCCTACCCTCTTCTTTATCCTGTTTTCACTGGTTTCCCCATTAAGAGTGGAACTGAGTAGGTCTGATATCCACCCAAGCTGGAAACAGATGCCACTGGAAAATAAGTTCCTCACTGATTTAAGAGCACAATTGCCACAGCTGAGACGGAGGTGGAGGCCTGGGGCGCTGGCCCCTGTCTCTTGGCCGGGTCGTCCTGGCCCTTACAACACCTGTGCGGCCAGCTGTACCAGCCTAGCAGCAGGGGCCCCGGCCTGCGAGTCAGGACACGCATGTGTCTGCTGGCTTCAGACGAGCCTCAGCGTAGTGGCCAATGGGAAGAACAGCCCTGCCTCTTCTTCCTTCTGGAGGGGTATCACGAGGATGACTAAAACATAATGGATTGCATTCAGTCGCTCAGAACACAGTCCCTGAAGCTACAATTTAGTCTGACTCTGGGGTCTAAGGGTCATAAGCCTTCAAAGAGAAACTCCTCTGAGGTTTATACAAAAGAGCAGGAATTCCTCTTGCTGTCAACCCGGAAGCAAGGCCATAGTACACCTATGAAATTCTTTGGGACACCAGCAACGCCCTTTGCTTATCTCACATCACGTTTCTGATGTGAGGCGTAGAGGATTAATTATGGAGATGGTAGGGGAAAGCGTATTTCTGCAGACAGTGGCTTATAAAGGAAGAATCAGAGGGTGATGGTGGTAGTGTTCTTTTTTCTTTTTTTTTTTTTTTTTTTGTCACAGCCTGGACAGCAAATGAATTCAGGTAAGTGAGCCTAAATGCCTCTGGAGTCTGACCAGAGCTGATACTCTCCTCTACGAAGAATGAAGCCTGAGGCCATTCACTAAAGCTCCCACTTCAACACACAATACAGACCAAAGTCCAGCCTCCCCTCAGCTGTAACTCAACCTCAATGCTTCCTTCTCCTCCCAGAAGGTGTGAACATTCTGTCTCTAAGACAGGCCACTCCGCCACCCTAGAGCCATCATCCCGTCGACAGTTCTGGACGTGGTGCCCCCTGCACTCATTTCTGACCTCGGGACCCACCAACTTCCTGAAGCCGCCTCCAGCGCCTTGGCCCTTAGACAGCCAGGTTCACACCCCGTGCCCTGCATTGATGGACCAGAGTGGGGACTGCACAGAGGACCCAGGGTCCACGGGCCGAGCTGAGCCCATCCATTTTCTTCTTGAGAAGTTCATCTCTGGAGCAACACAGATTGAACAGGTCTGATTGGACAGGGCGAACCCTGGACCTGAAAAGCCACACTGAATTGAAGCCAGGTTCCATAAAGCCACGTGCAAATGAAGCTTCTGAGAAAGCGAAATGTCCTCCCAGGCCCACAGTGGGGAACCGGACGGATGGGCAGAGAGAAGCGGAGACAGGGGCTCACGGGACAAACGGAGAGAAAAGTGGTACAACCACGGGACCCACCTGCATGCCCTGCACTTCGTTTCTGAGTGATCCCTGTCTTTCCTATAAATCCCCTTTTTATTTATTTTTAAATTTATTTATTTATTTTTGGCTGCGTTGGGTCTTCGTTGCTGTGCGCGGGCTTTCTCTAGTTGCGGTGAGCGGGGCTACTCTTCGTTGCGGTGCGCGGGCTTCTCATTGCGGTGGCTTCTCTTGTAGCGGAGCAC